TTCTATGATTCTATGATTCTAATCTCCAGAGGTTCCTTCCAACCTCAACTGTTTTGTGATTCTGTGAATAGTAGTCCTTTGTGCTCAGTTTTCAGAGCTATCATAGTCTTTGTGGCCAAACAGCAAAAATGGCAGATATACATTGGAAATTTTAGCTTTTTAATTTTAGACATTTTGAAATGGGAAATAATTCTTATATATTACTACAGTACTGAGGACTTCTATGTTGTTACTTTTTCAGAAATATTTCTGGAAATTTGCATGTCTCATTTTTCCTCTCAGTGGCATACATTTTGCAAAGCGCTTTTAAATATTATTACCAATTATTCAGACATTCTGAAATTGTGTAGCTGGGGATTTTATTATTCTTTTTCTATCCATAACAATAGAATTATGGAAACAGCCTCTCCTTCATCCATGGTTTATTAGTCCAGCCAGAATGCAGACTCTGGAATTTTTCATTGAATTTTACTTCAAATGAAATAGATACTTAAAATCTGGTTCAAATCAGTGCATTCCTTTGTTGAAAGTTACACAAGCAAACTTCCTCTTTCTCTTTAGCTGTTCTGGACTAATACAGAATGTCTTGGCATTTTCATCTATATCAGCTTCATTTGAAAACACACGTTTTAATTCTTGCCATTAGAAAACACCCTTGTAATGAATACTGTCCTAAAACTGCTTCTGCAGTGCCTTTCAGCATGATTTAATAACAACTTAACACTAATCACATTAATTAAACTCTCATGATGAAAAACCCAGATACTCAGATGCTTAGTATAAGTTTGCACAAAAGACTGTTTACTGAAAGAAATAAATCACTGAATAACTTGTCAAACAAATGTTACACAATTTAAAGAAAAACTTCCTTAATGTGGAAGCATGGCCCACTACAGCCTGTTGGCCAGGGCTGGGCCATCAGAGTAATTCAACCAGCCTGTGTCCTGGTGTCCGTTCTCTTCCCACATAGCCTTCTGCCATGACAGGGTGTAGATCAGGACCTATATAAGCACTTCATTGTCACATAACTGGATCATTTGGAAATCATTGTCCAACGGAACTCAGGCGTTGCCCATCATATGATAGTTTTCAGAGAAGCACAAAAATATCAGGACGCAATGGGGCTGCATAAGTGTTTCATCATGTCCAAATGGCTATCTGTCATGAATAGAGAGAGACAAGGAATCAGTGCTAAATTTTTGTTGTAAGGTGGATGCATTTTCTGCCTTGTTTCAGGGAAACCCTTTAGTACCTCCATGAAAGTTAGAAGGCCCACCCATAATAAAAATTTGGAAGCAACTGCTTCAAAATTATTTTTGCTGAATATATGATCATAAGCTGTCATGTTGTGTTCTGCCTTATCTTTTGTTTTGTTTGTAAATTGAAGGCTAACTAATAATTTTCATAAAGTTGCATAATGCTGCAAGAAAATTGCAAAAGTAGTTTTGAAAATTAGTGCCTTGTTGCTCTTTTATCTAAAACATTAGGAACCTCAGCTTTAACAAAAGAACAATGTTTTTTTCACCAAGGAAAATCAGTGAAGCAGAAATATAAGGTCATTCTTTCTTGTATTTTCAACAATGAAAAATTTGTGTAATAAACAGTGAAAGGCTAATATCTAAAAGAACAGGCAGAGAGACTCAAGGGAGGAGGCAGAATAAGTACATCAAAAGGTCAATGGAAGTTTCTAAAACCCACCACCACCACCAAAATTGAATTTTGAATCACATGCAGAACTAGTGGAGGTATATGAGTTTATTTTCATTATATTTGTTACATTTCTGAGGGGACAATTTTCAGAATGTATTGGAGTTTGAAAAAGCTTGAGTTTAGGATGGTAATGAAGAAAAGCTCTAGAGCAGCTTAGGTGAGACTACATGAAGTCTTATATTGTACTGAGATAGTAACAAGTACAGAAGTGGAAGTGGGAAAATGATCAAAGTCTCAAAATACACCTAATTTAGTATTGGTGGCATAATATAGTATTTAATGTTAAAGATTAAGAACCTATCTTCAGTTTCTTATGATTAGGAAAAGCACTCAGTACTTCAGCAGTTCTTCATCTTAATTCCCAAGCAGGTCATGAGGATATTTTTAAAGCTGATGTGAGTTATATACATAATGGATTTTAAGGGAATGTAATAGAACATTAAATGTATAAGCTGATATCGGTATTCATGTTTAATTTTCCTATAAAAATGGCAGATGGGTTGTTTTAACAAATTTTCAAGAGAAAGCATTAAAAAGAGTGATGAAACGAATATGCAATTCATAGGAGACTTATGTAAAGGGCAGTATTGAGGAACTTAGAGGCCTTCTCTTTCAGAAAGTTTTTCGTGAATTAAGACAGTATATGTGAAAGACTGAGCAAAGCCTGCAAGTTGCAATGTCTTTGTTCTTCCTTTTTTGTGCAATCAAATACTCCAATAAGAAATTATTAACTAGCTTGTGCTAGTTTTACGTTACATTTTTATATACTCAACGAACTATGGTCTCAGAAAAATTGAAGTGAAACTGGTACTGTGATTTCAGGATGCATGCAAAGACAAAATACAAAACATAACAGTTCTAAATACTGTATGTTTCTTACACTTTGAACAGTAATTTTGTTGTATACCTTTTTAATAATGTAGGGAGGGAAGACCTTATCCTTCATTTTTCTGTCAGTAATAAACCAAAATATCTGTATTACTCTTTCACTTACCTTCTCTCATATTTTTGCTTGGTAGTTGAGTGCAGTATAAGCTTGAAATGAAAAACACGTGAAAGTTCTGACAAACTTACAGTGCCTGGGAATGATTACGGAGGCAGACATCCTGTGTGTTCTGGAAAGCAAGATGCCATGTGACAATTCAGAAGTTTATTTAATCTGAAAAAAAGTGAAAACTATTTGTTATTTTAAGAGATACTTCAGAGAAAGAAAAATCTGATTTTACCTTTAATAAATTAATAGAAATTGAAATAGGAAAACATTTTTTTCCCAAAGGCTAGGGTTTTCTTTCTGCATTTGTGACTTGTAGAATTTTCCAATAAAGGTTTAAATTCCATAACTGGAATTCAGTGCAGCATCTTGTCACATGTCAGGTTGACAGATTCAGAACACATGCTAAAATATATTTATGTAATAAGCTGCATATGAATTAAGATTTGCAAAATGATACCATCTCTTGAAATTATTAAATAAATTTGGATTTTCAGTGGCTGTAATGGAATGGAAGTAAGTTATAAAAATGTCAATATGAAAGCAGCAGTACCTCTCAGAGTCTGAGTTACACATAATATTATATTTATTTTGTATTTATTATTTATTTGTATTTAATTTGCTTCCAGGTTGAACTAGTCTTATCAAAGCAAGAGCTATATCTGACAGCATGGTTTATAGTATCCAATACAATCTTGTTATGCTGAGTACACTACTGCTTTTTATATTGACACATTAACACAAATACTAAAAACAGTGATTCAGCTAAGTGAAGATTTTTCAGAAATTCCAGTACTTTTGAAGCAATTGGGTAGACAGAGTTGTCTCAGAAGAGTGTTACCTTTGTTGAACATCTCACGGACAATACTGAAAGAATCATTATAGTTTTAATCCAGTGTCAGAAAAGGGAGGATATCTGAATTACTTCAAAGCTAACAAGGTCATATGAAGTATTATGAATTAAACAAAGAATGTGTTGTATAACATAATAGTTTCCCTGAGTTTATTAACTGGACATCACGTGTTCTTTTTTAGAATTCTAACCTGATTCATCAGAAGGTGTCTCCTCCTGTGGAGCAACAAGGATCTCCAATCTTATCATTCATTACTCTGGAACAATTCAATGCCATTCGCCTTCTGCAAAGTGTCCATCAGTCACTTGCTTCTTTAAGTAAAGTTATCAGAGGTACCTCATTACTGAGTTCTGAAGTACAAAGGCTAGCAAGCGCTCTGCTAAATCAGAAGGTAAGTCATTTTGTCATGAATTTACATTATAAGCAATGAAAAAAACCAAGGAAACTGAACAAAATTCTGATACATATTTTCATGTCACTATTTGCTCTAAGTTCTTCTGTTGATAGAGTCTCTAAAATGGAGTTCTTTTATTGGTAATGACTCTAAAAAACCCTCATGTTTTTTCTGGAATGAAAACCCAGAAAAATGTTGCTTCAAGTACTTGCAGAAGCTTCTGACTATATTATACTTTCATCAAGCTTTCTCTTGAGGACAAATCCGATAAGATTAGACGTTGTGGAACAGTATTTCCATTTCAAATATCAAATTATACTAGATAAGTCAAATACATTAGCCAGTAGAACATGTAAATCTGTCCCTTTTCTTAATTTTTACAGTTTCTTAAAATTTAAGTTTTACTGCAGTTGTAATCACAATTCGCTCTCTACATTTATTCATTATGGATTATTGCCATATCACAACAGACAAGCTGTACCTATCATATCGACCTATCATCTCACCTTATATTCTTGATATACAAGAAAAGCAAGTAAAATCTGTACATGTACTTTTTCCATGTTTTCTGGCATCAAACTGGGCATGTTTATAAACTAGTACAATTAGTGACTGCAAATTTACATGGTCTGTCATTAATAGCTAGATAATTGGATTCCAAAGATAGTCAAACATTGACGTGAAACTCCGTGGTTTTGTTTCACCTGCAGCAACTGATAAATTGTGTTGATGCTAATGCATAGATATTGAGATTGGCCCTACAATGAACAATAATTCCTATCAACATCTTATCTATCTTCATGTGAGGATCAAGTACTGTTAAAAAGATTGTTATGCATTTATTGATCTATCAAATTTCTAATTAAAACAATAATTAAATTCTTTGTCTTTTCAGATTCACAAGACAGCATTTGTTAGCAAAATTGCAGTACAATTAGAATAAATTAACATTTTCATGCTAGCAATCTCATTGTGTTTTTAAACACGTTTTGTCTGTGTGGTAGAAATTGGTGCTAAGTACAAGTCATAGTGAATGCAAATGATACATGTAATGGCCATTTTTTAGTATTTATAGTTGTATTTCTTGTTACTGAGCAAAAGAGTATGGCTTGCTTGTGTGCTTAAGCTGCACTCAAATTGGAAGCTGCAGGAGCTATGAAGCTGATCACTGTCACAAAAATGTACTTAAAGATTCTATGCATTTTTATCTCTCACAAACATCAGTTCAGTGCTTCCTGATACATTGAACAAAGTGGTTTTGGCATTTCTTCTGCTTACTTACCCACTTACCTTGACACAGATCACTTTATTGGATTGTGACCATAAAGCAATCTTTTCAGCAGCCCTCCAGAGAAGCTAATGCTACACTCTTGGCATGGCAGCTAAACCTCACCATATTTATCATCTTAAAGTGATTTGTTTCATGTATTTTCTGTACACTGTTCTTTTTTATTTTAGTGTGGTCATGCATTATGCAACAAAGGATTATTTTTAAAAACTTATATTTTGAAAGCACCAAGATTGTAGTTCTTTTAAGATTATAGCACCTGAAGAAGCTGCTAGATTACCAACAGAAATGTAAAACTCAATGAATGTATGACTTCTAATGGTTTCAGCAATGTGCCTTATTTATGCAAAATTGATGTTAGTGTACATCTGAAATATGCTTCCATACTAACAATTAGCTAAGCTATTACTTTAAACTTAGATTAATTTAGAGTGATATATTAGCAACATAGAATCATAGAATCATAGAATAGTTTGGGTTGGAAGGGACCTCTAAAGGTCATCTAGTCCAACCCCCCTGCCCTGGGCAGGGACATCTTCAACTAGATCAGGTCACTCAGAGCCCCCTCCAACCTGACCTGGAATGTTGCCAGGGATGGGGCATCCACCACCTCTCTGGGAAAC